AAAGCACCATTATCCTTACTTTATGGATGGGGAACTAAGACAGAGAATGATGAAGTACTTTGCTTAGATTCATACTAGAAATATAACCAAAGCTAAAAACTGATCCTGCTAGGCCTTTTTTTCCCTTTTTCTGAATACTACCTCTACTCCCTTTGTTTTCCCAAGAAAACATGATTTAGCTAACAATAGCAATCTTCCTCTACCAGTCTCACAGCTCCTGAACATTCTGTTTTCTTCCCTGGTGGTCGGTACATTTAGGACTATTATTTTTACAGCAGTCTTTTACATAAGCTGTAAAGAGTAAAATTTTACAGTTTCAGAGTTAGAATTTACATTAGAACTTGAAAATTCCTCTTGAAATATGGTGGAAGCTCATCTCTACCAACTCACAAGCCCAGCTCCACAGTCCTTATGTTTGATTGCTTGCCCTTGTCCTGGTGGGAGACTTCAATCTGCCAGATATCAGCTGGGAACACAATACAGCTGAGAGGGAACAGTCTAGGAGGTTCCTGGAGTGTGTTGGGGATAACTTCCTGACACAGCTGGTGAGGGAGCCGGCTAGGGAAGGAGTCCTTATGGATCTGCTGCCTGTAAACAGAGGAGGGCTTGTGGGGGATGTGATCATTGGAGGCTGTCTTGGGCAGAGCAACCATGAAATGATAAAGTTCTCAATTCTCAGGGAAGCAAGGAGAGGGGCCAGCAGGACTGCCACCACAGACTTATGGAGGCTACACTTTGGTCTTTTCAAGAGCCTGCTTGACAGACTCCATTGGGAGGCAGTCCTGAAGGGAAAAGGAGTCCAGGAAGGCTGGACATTTTTCAAAGGGGAAGTATTAAAAGCACAGGAGCAGGCCGTCCCTGTGCACTGTAAAGTGAGCCGTCAGGGGAAAAGACCAGCTTGGATGAACAAAGAGACAGTCACAACTCAGGGAAAAAAAGGAGAGTTTACGGCTTTAGAAAAGGGGCAGGCTACTTAGGAAGATTTCAAAGGTGTTGTAAGGCTATGTAGGGAAAATATTAGAAAGCCCAAAACCCAACTAGAACTTAATCTGGCCTTGGATGTTAAGAACAATAAAAAGAATTTCTATAAATTTATTAGTAACAAGAGGAGGACTCGGAAGAATCTCCATCCACTATTGGATGTCAGAGGTAAAAGTGACAAAAGATGCAGAGAAAACAGAGGTATTTAATGCCTTCTTTGCCTCAGTCTTTAGTAGTAGAGTTGGTTGTACCTGAGTACCCAGACCCCTGAGCCAGCAGATAGGGGTGGGGAGCAGAATGAAGCCCACATAATCCAAAGGGAGGTGGTGAGGGACCTGTTCCAACACCTAGATATAAACAAATCTATGGGGCCAGATGGGATCCACCTGAGGGTACTGAGGGAGCTGGTGGAAGCACTCACTGAGTGCTTCCATCATCTACCAGTAGTCCTGGCAAACTGGGGAGGTTGCAGCTGACTGGCGTCTAGCAAATGTGACACCTATCCACAAGAAGGGCCAGAAGGAGGATCTGGAGAACTGTCAGTCTGACCTCGGTGCCTGGGAAAGTCATGGAACAGATCATCCTGAGTGCCATTATGTGGCACATGAAGGAGAACCAGTTGATCAGGCCCAAACAGCAAGGATTCATGAAAGGCAGGTCCTGCTTGACAAACCTGATCTCCTTTCACGACAATGGAAGCTGCCCATGGCTTAGATGGGAGTACTCTCCACTGGATTACAAACTGGCTGGAGGACCGGGCCCAGAGAGTGTTGGTGAATGGAGTTAAATCCAGTTGGCGGCCAGTCACAAGTAGTGTCCCCTAGGGCTTGTATTGGGACCAGTTCTTCTTAACATCTTTGTCAATCATCTGGACAAGGGTATTGAGTGCACCCTCACTAAGTTTGCAGACAACACCAAGTTAGGTGGGAGTGTCAACCTGCTGGAGGGTAGAAAGGCTTCACAGAGGGATCTGGACAGGCTGGATTGATGGGCTGAGGCCAATGGTATGAGGTTCAACAAGGCCAAGTGCCGGGTCCTGCACTTGGGTCACAACAACCCCATGCAGTGCTACAAGCTTGGGGAAGAGTGGCTGGAGAGCTGCCTGGCAGAAAAGAACCTAATTAGCTGAACATGAGCCAGCAGTGTGCCCAGGTGGCCAAGAAGGCCAACAGCATCCTGGGCCTGTATCAGGAACATCATGGTCAGGACTCACGAGGTGATCATTCCCCTGTACTCGGCACTAGTGAGACCCCACCTCAAGTACTCTACCCAGTTTTGGACCCCTTACCACAAAAAAAAGATATTGAGGTGCTGGAGCGGGTCCACAGAAGGGCAATGAAGTTGGTGAGGGGTCTGAAGAATAAGTCTTATGAGAAGAGGCTGAGGGAGTTGGGGTTGTCCAGCCTAGAGAACAGGAGACTGAGAGGAGACCTTAGCGCTCTCTGCAACTACCTGACAGGTGATTGTAGGGAGGAAGGGATCGGTCTCTTCTCCCAAGTCACAGGCAATAGGACAAGAGGAAATGGCCTCAAGTTGCACCAGGGGAGGTTCAGATTGGATATTAGGAAAAATTTCTACACTGAAAAGGTTACTAAGCATTGGAATGGGCTGCCCAGGGAAGTGGTTGAGGCACCATCCCTGGAGGTATTTAAAATGGGTAGATAGAGCACTTAGAGACATGATTTAGTGATGGTTTTTATCAAGAGTTATGTTGATGGTTGGACTAGATGATCTTAAAGGTGCTAGGGAAGGAGTCCTTATGGATCTGCTGCCTGTAAACAGAGGAGGGCTTGTGGGGGATGTGATCATTGGAGGCTGTCTTGGGCAGAGCAACCATGAAATGATAAAGTTCTCAATTCTCAGGGAAGCAAGGAGAGGGGCCAGCAGGACTGCCACCACAGACTTATGGAGGCTACACTTTGGTCTTTTCAAGAGCCTGCTTGACAGACTCCATTGGGAGGCAGTCCTGAAGGGAAAAGGAGTCCAGGAAGGCTGGACATTTTTCAAAGGGGAAGTATTAAAAGCACAGGAGCAGGCCGTCCCTGTGCACTGTAAAGTGAGCCGTCAGGGGAAAAGACCAGCTTGGATGAACAAAGAGACAGTCACAACTCAGGGAAAAAAAGGAGAGTTTACGGCTTTAGAAAAGGGGCAGGCTACTTAGGAAGATTTCAAAGGTGTTGTAAGGCTATGTAGGGAAAATATTAGAAAGCCCAAAACCCAACTAGAACTTAATCTGGCCTTGGATGTTAAGAACAATAAAAAGAATTTCTATAAATTTATTAGTAACAAGAGGAGGACTCGGAAGAATCTCCATCCACTATTGGATGTCAGAGGTAAAAGTGACAAAAGATGCAGAGAAAACAGAGGTATTTAATGCCTTCTTTGCCTCAGTCTTTAGTAGTAGAGTTGGTTGTACCTGAGTACCCAGACCCCTGAGCCAGCAGATAGGGGTGGGGAGCAGAATGAAGCCCACATAATCCAAAGGGAGGTGGTGAGGGACCTGTTCCAACACCTAGATATAAACAAATCTATGGGGCCAGATGGGATCCACCTGAGGGTACTGAGGGAGCTGGTGGAAGCACTCACTGAGTGCTTCCATCATCTACCAGTAGTCCTGGCAAACTGGGGAGGTTGCAGCTGACTGGCGTCTAGCAAATGTGACACCTATCCACAAGAAGGGCCAGAAGGAGGATCTGGAGAACTGTCAGTCTGACCTCGGTGCCTGGGAAAGTCATGGAACAGATCATCCTGAGTGCCATTATGTGGCACATGAAGGAGAACCAGTTGATCAGGCCCAAACAGCAAGGATTCATGAAAGGCAGGTCCTGCTTGACAAACCTGATCTCCTTTCACGACAATGGAAGCTGCCCATGGCTTAGATGGGAGTACTCTCCACTGGATTACAAACTGGCTGGAGGACCGGGCCCAGAGAGTGTTGGTGAATGGAGTTAAATCCAGTTGGCGGCCAGTCACAAGTAGTGTCCCCTAGGGCTTGTATTGGGACCAGTTCTTCTTAACATCTTTGTCAATCATCTGGACAAGGGTATTGAGTGCACCCTCACTAAGTTTGCAGACAACACCAAGTTAGGTGGGAGTGTCAACCTGCTGGAGGGTAGAAAGGCTTCACAGAGGGATCTGGACAGGCTGGATTGATGGGCTGAGGCCAATGGTATGAGGTTCAACAAGGCCAAGTGCCGGGTCCTGCACTTGGGTCACAACAACCCCATGCAGTGCTACAAGCTTGGGGAAGAGTGGCTGGAGAGCTGCCTGGCAGAAAAGAACCTAATTAGCTGAACATGAGCCAGCAGTGTGCCCAGGTGGCCAAGAAGGCCAACAGCATCCTGGGCCTGTATCAGGAACATCATGGTCAGGACTCACGAGGTGATCATTCCCCTGTACTCGGCACTAGTGAGACCCCACCTCAAGTACTCTACCCAGTTTTGGACCCCTTACCACAAAAAAAAGATATTGAGGTGCTGGAGCGGGTCCACAGAAGGGCAATGAAGTTGGTGAGGGGTCTGAAGAATAAGTCTTATGAGAAGAGGCTGAGGGAGTTGGGGTTGTCCAGCCTAGAGAACAGGAGACTGAGAGGAGACCTTAGCGCTCTCTGCAACTACCTGACAGGTGATTGTAGGGAGGAAGGGATCGGTCTCTTCTCCCAAGTCACAGGCAATAGGACAAGAGGAAATGGCCTCAAGTTGCACCAGGGGAGGTTCAGATTGGATATTAGGAAAAATTTCTACACTGAAACGGTTACTAAGCATTGGAATGGGCTGCCCAGGGAAGTGGTTGAGGCACCATCCCTGGAGGTATTTAAAATGGGTAGATAGAGCACTTAGAGACATGATTTAGTGATGGTTTTTATCAAGAGTTATGTTGATGGTTGGACTAGATGATCTTAAAGGTCCCTTCCAACCTGACAATTCTATGATTCTGTCCTATGATTCTATGTTACTATAATAATTTTAAATGTAATTCATATATAGCATAGCCATGAACTATGAAGTCCAGTTTCCTACCTAAAGGATTCATGTGTACGATGAAGATTTTTGTTCCTCTCTTTCATGAATGTCAGTTCACTTGATAATCTGCATGAGAAAAAAAATTCCAGGATCAGTATGTTACTGGAAGTATCACTACTTTATCCCAAAAACATAAAGAACCACAAAAAATATCATTCTTTGTATGAGTTGATTCAGGTACTGACACTCTAAGTCAATACATTTAAACATTAAGAGCAATAGCAACTACAGTAAAATACCACGTTACTGTACCCTCTTTTCTTTACCTGTTTCAATAAAAGCACAAAATTTTGTAGCAATTTAGGATTTCCAGACGACTATGCTAGGCTATGTGATTAAAGGCTTATCACCATCTGTGCAAAGGCTGGGACAGGATCAGATAAAAATTGATGGAGTTTGGGGGAGGAACCCTAGCAACCTAATCAGTCAAAATGGGGCACAGGGAATTGGCTACGCCTAGTACTACCACAGTGAGACCATTGTTCCTTGTGTGGAACCCAGCAGGAGAAGCCAAACAAGCAAATCCCCTCCCCATATAGCTCACAGACTGAAGGAAGCATAGGACTTGTTAAGGGATGACAGGGGGAAAGAATTTGTAGCGGAAAGGGAGGGATCAAAGTGGACTGGGGAGAAACAAGCATGGCAAAATACAGTGAAAAGGGGAATAAAGGGGCCAGTTAAGTGTAACCTGGTGGATTGTCTGACTGAGATGTGTGGCTGGTCACCGTAGTCTACCCTATATTCTCAGAGTCCTATTTCTGACTATCTTCTGTCTGGGTGTGTTCTGATCTGAGTGGGCACATTTGGTCACTAGTGAACTCTCAGCTGGATTAGCCAGTGAGGAGTGGGATCGCAAACCTTCAGGCCTCCCCACACAACTGGGGAGACCAGAGGATATGGGGCCAGCTACTGGGTCAACAGAGCATGTAAGACCAGTTACTAGAGTGATCTACTTTTTTTGGTGCAAATGCACACAAATATGTGCAATCATATATGTTGTGTCTTTGTTGATGTGTGGCCTCTGTGTGTGTTTATTGTGTCCATATTCCCACCCATCAGGAGCTGCTCTGCTTCACTACTGGCAGAACCTCAGCATATGGACCTACAGCAGCCTCATATCCATGGGACTAACTGATTTAGCTGAAGCTGACTGCAACAGACTGAAATCAAATGTTTTACCAAAAAAATCCACTATGCTTAAGTAACTGTTCTTTTTCATCCCGTATAAATACACTACACTGTGAAGAAATAATTTAGATGAGCTTCAGTGCACAACTTACCTGCCGAAGGAAGAAAAACTATTTGTACATTAAATTACTAACTTTGAAATTACTAACTTCATCATGCTATTACTTACAAAATCTTCTATCTTCAAACAGTTTGAAACAAAGTAGAATATTTTTAGAACTAGCATTAAGAATGGTCTGTATCACCTGGAGACCAGGTAGGAAGCTTTATTAACCAGTTTCTAAGGTATTCTTTTGTTTGGCTCCATTTCAGTAAGGCTAATAAGAACACTAAAAATGTCATGAAATTATTTGGCATTATTCTGTTACAGATGATCAGATTTAATTGAGGGCGATAAATGGTTTCTTTTTTGTGTGCATATATTAAATGGCATAGATAACATACACATGAATATGGCAGAAATAATGTTTGCAGTGAACTTACTCAACCATCACATAAGGTGAAATGTAGTTTAAAGATGGAGCTCAACAACTGCCTCCTGTTTTAAAGATGACAGAAATCTGGTTGTCAGGGTGCACACTGGGAACACAGTTTGTCTCAAGATTGGCTAAGTAGAAGAATTCTCCCAAAATACAAGCTGCCATATAGATCTAGATCACTTCACAGAGACATTTTAAAAATTATGCAATTGTGCCACATTTAAAAGGAAGCGTAGTTCTAAAAGAAAATTTTTGGTTATGATCACTAAATAAAAACAAACCTTCCTCCACTTTTTCTGATTTCTATTGCTTGGTACTACATCAAAATATACAGTTCTAACCTACTAGCAAATTTTATTCTGCTTTCATGACTGCTTTCATCAGGAAGTGATATCATGAACTGGTGACGCCTCCCTACATAGTAAGACTGACATAAAACATGTTTTTACCAAAGCTACAAGAGTGACATAAGCACTGGCTTGTTCATATCAGAGATCAGAAAGGATCGTGATAGAATTGGCCTCATCTCCTGCATTAACCAGGAGAACTATGCTCACCCAAGTATTTCTACAACAATTAATCATTATTCAAGTCATGTTTATTATGATAGTCCTGAGGACAAAGATAGAATCCCACTGTCTTAGGTCCAAAATATTTTCAAAATACCCCATAAACTGGAAACTGCACATGAAGAATCAGTTTTAGAAAATTAACTTCAAACTGTCATTTCAGAATGTCACAAATTCTTTTTCAACCAAAGCCAATGCATGCAAATTTTCAAAATTCCGAGTTAACAAATATCATCGGATATCAACATAAAGCATTTTATTTTGAGATTTTCCAGTAGAAAATTTTCTAAAATCTAAGAAAATAATTACAGTTTTATTATAACTTTTTTTTCCAATGAAAAATTGTTAATGTGAAAAATTTCTGATAATCTTTAATTATACAAAGAATTATAATGAGCAATGCAATGGCATGAAATGTCTTGCTATTTTGACATTTCTGGGGGAAGATGCTGGTGTAGAGGTGGGGGAATTTGTTCTGAAGGGACTAAAATGACTAAAACTTTACAGGAAGCAAAGGAACAGGACTTTGAAAGTGGCAAATGGAACACAGTAACAGAGAAAAGTGTGAAAGGTTTATGAATGGAATCTGATGGGAAGAGACAATGAGGAAAGACACAGAAGGGGGGAAAAACAAATAATCTGGTGACACTGGGCAGTAAAGGGTCAGACAAAGTTGTAATTTAGAATGTCCCCTTTGGATTTCAAAGCTCCATCCACTGGATGCCATCCCCAAATAGCATTTTCTTGGTGAACACAGACAATAGGGCTGGGTGGAGCGGAGCAGAAGCATCTTCTGGATCCTAATGCCTGTAAGAATCAGTAAGGTAATGCTGAAAAAAGCTGTGACCTTAGAACTAGCACGTTTCCTTTATTCCCTCTCACTGAGACAGTCCATTTTGGCTGAGTGTGTCTGGAGTTTCTCTTCAAAGCTTTATGTCTGTGGTAAGACTCTAACAGAAAAGAACCTGGCTGCAGGGGAATATATGTTCTTGTTCAATCCCAAATATGGTCAGTAATTAACAATATCAGTGGAAGCAGAGAAAAATATTGGACAAATAATTGTTTTCTGTTTCAGTGTTCTCTTTTTCACGAGGTCCTCAGTATGAGGTTGTAAAAGTAGTTGTTTCTTTATCTTTTTCTGAATATCAGTTGCGCATTTACACTCAAATTGCTTAAGTGACTGTAGAGTTACTCTGTAAAAGAACACAATTACCAAAAATTACTACTCCAAACAAACTGATATAAGCGCTCAATGACCTATTATTTGTGAACATTAACAATTCTCAAGCATATTCCCTGAGCTTCAAACTTGTTGATAGAAGAGCTTTGTGGTTGCATTCTGAAGGCTGCCACTGATGCTGCGTACAGATCAGGTGGCACAGGGGTTAGCTAAAGGAACGAAACAATGCTACGCTGGTAATCCGCAACTGAGGGAAAAATCTTCTCTTACAATCACTTGAGAGAAATTGCTGACAATAGTGGGAAAAAAATAATATTTAACCTTCCACCTTCACTTGCCTAAGCGCAAAATAATTTACCTTTTGGCACTTCTAACCTAGAGCATTATACTAATTTTGATACAGAAATAGGTGGATACACAGAGAAGTATTGTTATCACGCCCAGCCCTAATCTCGGCGGCATTTCATAGATTTCCTCTGGTACCTAATTCCTGAAGAGACTAGCGTTTAACAGATTTTACAAACAGATTATTTTCTACAGGTGTTTCCATAGGTGGCATTAATTTCTAACGTCAGTAAGACCCACACAGCTTCCTTATGAGGAATGTCTCATTACAGAAAGTCAAATGTTCAAACTACTTTGAAATTCCTACATGCCAAACCAACAACAGTATCAATACTGCTGTATCACAGCCCTGTTAAGTTCCACATAGGTGCTCATCTTCCAGCAAAAATATCTTTATTTAATCAGAGTTTTGCAGTGGAAGAACACTGAAGTTCCTGAAAACTGCAACATGCATTCTGAAGAAACTGAATTCACCCTTTGATCAGGAGCACGGATTTCCCTTCTAATTTCTTCATGATGAATATATAAAATGAATGAAGTGCAGAACTAACCTGATCTATGCCCCATCTTCATGCCAGGCTGCTATTCTTTGGAGTTTCTCAGTCATGGTGAATCGTGTTTTGGATTTTTCATTTGGTTTGCAGTATAAGGAAGTGAACCTGAGATTGCAGACTGTGAGACTTTTATGTACTTGTTTACAGCATAAAGACTTACACTGCAGTCTCTGGAGGTTAAAGGTAAATTTATTAATGTATTCATTCATTAACCCATTCATTTATTAACTTGCTTGCTTTGTTCCTTAGAAACTCCAAGGACAATATTGTATCTCCTACTGATGAATGCATTTCTAAAAGGTAATATTTGCACCTCTGACACAGTAAATAAAACATGTGTCAAGAAACTACTTGAAGAAATCCATTTTGCAAAGAGAGAGAAGTCTTCATTGTGCAGCAAAGGCAAACAAATGGCTCCATGAATACAGATTAACTAAATATGGGATATTAGGTTTCGAACTATGGATAATGTTTAGTTTTAACATACTGAGGGCACAAGAATGCCTCTGCTTTACCTCTGCTGTAACACCATATATGTCCAATTAGAATTAACAAGAATGTGTCAGCTTTCCCTACTCCTCTGTGGAGTTTGCACACTTTTTGGTTAAATAGTGAAGAAAGAGTTACTAAGCAGAATTTGGAGGATAAATAATTTCAAAGAATAAAAAATATATTCTGTACTAGAGCAAAATCTATTTTAACATTTTTCTTCAGTGTGTTCAATCAGAACAGATATCTGTGAATCCTGTTC